CTTAAATTTGCCTTACATTGATCTGACATCGGGTCGACTTGTCTGTGCGGGACCATTTTGCTGGGTTTCTTCCATACTGCACTGTCGTATATCAAATGATAGTGAGTGACTCAATTGACAGTGACGATGAGCTTCGAATGAGAAGGGGGCTTTTCAAATTATGGTCATATGAGAATTTGTTTTCACAGAATTGATAGAATGGTTATAATGGTTCATCTTCAATCGAATGATATGAAAATTAACATCATTGCTTAGAGAGAAAAGCAGTAGGATGGGCTGTAATATCATATTACAGCCCATCCTACTGCTTTACTCTTTGAGATGACTGCGTTGGTCATGAAGAGAGGAGCAACACAATAGGGGAAACAGCCCTATTGTTGCAGTGTTAGAAGCCTATTGTTGTGTATGGAGACCTCCATACACAACAATAGACTTCTAACGCTGCTAACGTACCGCAACAATAGGGCTGTTTTCCCTAGTTGGTTAAAGAAGAATTGCATTAAAACACACCATCGCCTGGAAATGCTTTCGGTGAAGTGGGGATTTAGGTAGTTATAAACTTCACTAGAACTATTCCACAGCCGCATACAACTCAAACGCATACAACTCAAACGCATACAACTCAAACGCGCACTATTTTGCCTATGGATTTGAAGAAAAACTTCAAGTCCCCTCATCAATTAATGTATGAGTTAGGTAAAGGAGTGTGCGTTTGATTAGTACTGTCGCATTAATGGCCCTTCGCACATTTTCAACGGTTTTGAAGGGGGTACTACCGTTTGTACTCCATTTTCACCCTATAATTTCGTCCATTTGAGAGATAGAAAACTGTCGTCTTGGGAAAAGTTTCTTAAAATGACTTCATTTATCATCATCGATTTTAACAAGACATGAAAAATATATTTTTTTTTTATCTTAGTGTATACCCCCCTTGAGCAAATATTTCAACAATGGTAATTTGGTAACTATTAGAACATTTTTTATCAACTAAATGTGGTGATTGATATTGCTTTTGAAGAGCACAAGAACAAAACTTGAAATTAAATCTTGTCCATACAATTTAATATAAATTAAAATCAGAGAACTTTTCATCATGAATAAATTTTTACGAAAAGGAAGGTGATAACTAGGAAAAATACTTACTTTTCATTCTTCCCGGAATTTACAAGAGACATTAGTGTCAATAAAATCAAAGTGGATGACATAATAGTGCAGCAGTTCCATTGAATGACGATGATTTTTTTTTAAATTTTTTGATCGACCTTCTACGATTATGTTGAAACTTTGCACAGTTGTTTGTTATTGTCCAACATGCCATTTTACATATTTGGTTCCCTAGTTTTGTACACGACAAACACTTGAAAAGGGCTTATGTTAAAATGATACACATCAATAGACAAAACATATATCTTGCGAACGATTTGTTTGATTGAGATGGTGTCTTCGAAGAAGTTGCGGACAAGTATTGTGCCTTTCAAGAAAAAGTATACACTGTAAAAAAATATAATTATCAAAATTACCAAAAATAAATTAAAATTACTCAAATTGCATATTTTTTTATAATTATTTTGTAGTTTAGATAAGGTAATGATAAAAAAAACTGTGAATAGCAAAGTTTAAGGAAATTAATTGGACTTGCTAAAAATATTTTCAAGATTAAACACTCACGAATAACATCTCAAAAGAGTGGAAATTTTAACCTACGAGTATCTCGAAAATAACAACTCTGGGCAATATAAGCAATAGAAGCTTTTTTTGTTGTAAATTTAATGTGTTTTAATATTAACACTATTTCAAAGATATTAGATAACTATCGGTAGTATTTGGGAAAATACTTATTTTTCCAACAATTCATAACTTTTTTAATTATGATTTTCCCAGCAAATACACAGTGTCAATAGGTATTTCTTTACCTTAGCTACAAAAAAAAAAAATATATAAAAAAAAATAATTTAAAAAAAAAAAATGCAATCTGAGTAATTTTAATTTTTTTTTATAATTTTGATTTTTTTTGTAAAAAAAATTATAATTTTTCACAGTGTATATTTATTCTCGGAATGCACAATACTTTTCTGCAACTTCTCAAAGACACTATCTCGATCAAACAAATCGTTCACGAGATATATATTTTTCTATTGCTGCGTATCATTTTTGCATAAGCCCTTTTCAAGTGTTAGTCGTGTGCAAAACTAGGGAACCAAATATGTAAAATGGCATGTTGGGCAATAACAAACAACTGTGCAAAGTTTCAACATAATCGTAGAAGGTCGATCCGAAACGATTTGTGATTCTGTGTGGAACTGCTCAGTGGCTTTAAGAAATTTAGACATCTCCAAAGGTTCAGGACCTAACGGGATTCCACCTATATGTATGAAAAGCTTGGCAATAGAACCTATGGCCCCACTGTATTGGATTTCTAATACGTGGCTAAGATCTGGGAACTTCCCCAAAACATGGAAAAGTTCTTTCTTTTTTCTTTTTAAATTGCCATGCGATATAGTAGCTTCGAATATATCATTCCTAGTCATAATCCAGAATTTATGGAACCAGATACTGAAGGCATTGGAACAGATGCCAATGTGTCAATATGACAATGAAAGTATCTGAAATAATCGTTCATGGCCATATCCTATGATTTGATATGCAGTATGATTCATTTGCCTCAAATATGACTATGGCCTAAAGAACTGGGTTTCAGAATCACAGGAACCGATGTCAATGTGGCCATGTGTCACAGGATTCATCTGAAACTGTTTTCATTAGACATATTTACTTTTTTTGTCGTGATTGGAACCACCACATGATATGGTTTTCATGAATATGATTATACCTTACTGTATTGTGGAATCTATAAAAATGGAATTCCGGAATCCCTGAACATCTAAATTCAGTGTTACTAATCATATTTCATCTACCTGATATCATTTGCTGCACCAGACAACCGATTCGTGTGAAAATTTAAAACATTTGGTCCAGCTGGTAAAAAAAGTACAAAAAAACACAGACATATTTACATCTGCCAAGAACGAGGAGGATTCTAAGGGAGTGGTACTTACGACAAAAGTTAGTTCAACTAATTCCCTTGAATAAAAATTCAAGTTTATGAAAATCGGATAAGGCATTGCTGAGAACAAGTTTGTTAAAAAAAAATCATTCGTCCTGGTTCTTTACGGGTTAACAAGTATGATCCGTTTTATTCAACAGAAAAGGGCGGAATATTCCATGCAAGCGCATCGCAGGGTAGTGGCGCGTGTAAATGGTATTGAATTGAATATTGATCATCCCGTGCTCAGTTTATGTCAGCACAATTAGTGGCTATTTAGTTCGAATGGTTTTACCTGACCTTTTTGCACTGATGGCTGCTCTTTTGGGAATACACATCTCAACATTTCATATAGGACTGGGAAGATTAGCTTAAAAGCTTGTTGTTGCTGGAAAATTATCCGTGTGAGTCCACCAAACCAAACGACATTCTCTGAGTTCGAATTTACTGATAACGCAAAGCAAATTATTCCCCCTCGATGAAGATCATCAATTCGCTGCTCTTGTGCCACCATTTGCGAACGTGACAATATTGGATTTTTTTAATCCACTTTTGCCGTTGAACATAAACGCATTAAGAGATAAAAATCTCCATCGCCCGATTTCGGCACAGCTTGAAGGTGGCAAAAGCAGGTCGATGGCAATATTTTGTCGCATTTGTTAATGAGTGTCGTAAAAATCGCTTCGCTTATTACGCGCCACAAGAAGCCTGTTATATCGGTAATGTCGTCGTATTGAGCAGTAATCGAAAGCCGATGCGCGATCCGTTATTTCGCATATTTTAAAATTCATAATTACCCTTATAAAAAGTTCTGTCCAATTTGTTGATGTGTTGTAAGGCTTGCACGTCGTCGCTTCAGCACGGGATACTGGAAGATATTTTCCTCTCGAAGCGGTATGGGAGTAATCTTGTTAGTTGTTGATCTTCGATATTAACTATTAATGCAAATCTGCATGAGCATTTTGTGAATTATATAAAAAAAAAGCAGGATCAGCTAAGAAGTCATTGGTTTTGGTAAACAGATGTTTCTTTAGAAACACTCCACGATGGGGTGATATGATAAACCAAGTAAACATTTTCAAATTTGAGAGTGTGTTTATCGTATGTTTGTTTTAAATCTCGATGCTATTCGTTTACAAATATTATCACAGTTGGTGGTGTTGAGATAGCCGGTTTCCAGTTGCCTGGTACTGTAGAACATGCGTTACATAGGTGCGAAAATATTACTATTGGATTTAAGATGCATCAAATTCCGGTGGTCTGCGTACATTCATTATACACATATTTAACGTTCAGCAATACTAACGTCGTTCTTTACAGTTCAATGTCACTGTCAGGTGACTGTAAGCATGTAATCATGGGTGGATATGTGTACAAATCGATGCTACTGTGTTGAGTAAAAAATTGTTATCAATTCTAAAAACTACTCTACGTATATCAGTAACAACTTACACAAATAATCATACCGTAGATACACTGTTTGGAATAGGATTACTTCGTTCCGTGTATTATGGGAATGATTTGATGTCAACATGTTGATGAGTGATTGAACTCTCCTTTCATGGGTCGGTAGTGTGGGAGACAAACGTGCAAGAGAATGTAGATCGGACCCCCCCAATTGCACAGGAATGCAGTAAGGAAAGAAAGTTTTATTGGTGTTTCCACGACCGTCTCGTCCCCTGCCCAGTCCAAACAAGCAGAGCTACCTCAATTGCAAAGAAAGTTAAATCGATTTGAAGAAGAACTTCGTTTGAAAAGACACGTTGCATTAAGCAGATAAGGATGGCATTCCGGGTTGCGTATTTTCCACTACTGCACACAAGCTGTCGTTCTTGTGGACTCAACGTGCTGTCTCAGAGACTTAGTGTTCTTTTTGCCTTCACTGATCTTTTGATGAATTTCGATGTAAAAAGATGGCAGGGAAAGTTTCTTTGAATTGAATCTTTTATGAACTTACTATTTTTTCTCTCTATCGTTGTCCTTTTGGGCTCGTCGTCTGCTGCACTTTAACTCCCACCCCGACTATCAGATGAACTGTCAAGATACTTCAGATCAAAACTTTGCTCGTGTCGTTCATCCGCGATTTCTTCCACAAGCTCTCCGGTAGACTCACTTGACGGAGAACTTTATCATTTTTCAATTAATCACGCTGCATTTCATCTGCTCTTTCAACGTATGCAGCTATTTCTACTTCTTTGCCTTCACTTCACTGCACCTTTTTTTTCTTTCTTATGCTCTTGTTGAACTGTGGATTTTTTCCCGCTTAACTTTTATGCACTTTTATGTCACGTTTTTGATATTTATTCACCTCCGCTCACTTTATGCTTGAATTGGGCCCTTCTAACGACTCGGGAATTAGCAAGCAGTGAGAGACGGCCTGTCACGAGTCGCGCTTCCAGTGTTAATAAAAAATAATGCATGACTTTCGGGACGTTGATGGCGATTTATCACTTCGTACTAAGTAGGAAAACTGAGAGCGATTTTTTGATGGGAAGCTTCCTCTGTTGTATTCAAGTTGTTTATGAAACACTTGTTGTGTTATTGCTGCGATTATAATGCAGTTATTATTCGAATACGTATGCGCAAATGTTTTGCATAATTCAGTACTATTTGTGAATGATGGATTATTATTTAATTGAGTTTACTTCTGAATGTTTTGACAAGATACAATAATATCTCTGTAGAAGTTCTTCTTATCCTTATATTATCCTTATCCTCCATATACCACGAGGACAGAAAAATCATGACTTTTGACTCCCCCATCCTGCCTAGTGGATAAGTCTAGATACAGCTGGAAATAGGGGTAACAGCTATTATAAAAAAATGACTTCTCTCGATGATTTCTCGAATGTCATGGCTCATTTTGACAAATCGACATCACCATTGAGTAGGGGAAGACTTCCCCTATCCAATGAATGTGCTGGTTTATGTAGGTGTGCCTTGAATTATTAGAAATCAACGGGAGAAGTCATTGTGTACAAACGCTGTTACGCCCTAATCCAGCTCTATCTAGAAGTGTGGATATAGGCTCCTATGATGTCCACGCGAACTTTCATTTTTGTTGTCAAGTTATCCCATAAAATATTCATGTCGTGCTCAATTTTCGTTTTCAACTTCATTTTAGTTTATTTTATTAAAAAGGACGCCTTCATTCGAACTAATAATTTCGGTAATAAAAGGCACCGCAATGTAAAGCCAGCGTAATTTGGTTATTCAAATTTGCTTGAAACAATATAAACCTATATTTATATTCACCTAGTAGTGTTCTCTTTGCTACGCACATTAATAAGAGGTCATCCCAGAAAATAAAGCGCATATATAACAACAAATGAGTGTTCTGAGGATTTTTAACTCTTTGGAAGACTAAGGCAAGTTACAAGTTCAAATGACCCAGAGATAACTCCAAAAGACTTCCATACCTAACCTAGCATACTTAAGGATAAGGATCCAGGGAAAAATCCAAATGTCTAAAATAAATAAATTATAATAGAACAAATGTCCAGTTACTTGGAAATTTCTTTCAGATCATTTAAGCTTCCTTTATTCTATGGACACGTTATGGAAATGTTTGACTCAACATTAACTTTCAAAGTCAGCTTACCCATCAAAATCCATTAGGACCGTCTTGAAAGCTTCGTATCCTTTAAACTCGAAGGATATTTTGTAGAATCTTTAAAAGTCCGCCCAACCTGCTCTGAAACTCACACTTAATTCGGTTTGAAGTCATCTAGATCGACCTTAGATGTTCTGCGATTCTATTTATAAAATCAAATAAGCACACTCCCTGTAGTAATACATAGAAACCAACTCAGTTTACTAGTGAACATAATGATAGTGGAAACAGCAGCCCTTCTGTTTTGAAGTTTAAGCGCTATAAAAATTCCTTGAAGTTCCTGAAACCTTGCGTTGAAGGAATATACCAAACATTAGCTAATTCCTTAAGATTTTCAAATGCCACCATACAAAAGCAATAAATAAAATGGTGTTCACAAAATTGTTCCATACATATTGTTTTCATCGCAACCTATTGAATTAACTGAATGTCTTAGAAATTTTAAGATATCTTAGAAATGATACAACTTATCTTCAGGCTTCTGGCAATTTGGTGAATTGTAATTTTGGGATTTTTTTTTAGATTCTAGTGATAATTTCTAGAGAATTATGAGGAAAATTCCTAGGAAAATCTTAAGTAAACTTCAAGAGAGTTCAGAATACCAAGAGAGCTCTGGCTGGAATTTCAAGTTTCTGAGAAGAATTCCAAACGAATTGTAGGAATAGTTCAGTAAGGTGAATTCAATAAAGATTCTGAGAAGATTTCTATCCCCCTTACGAGGAGAATGTGTGAATGTGAAGGAGAATTCCTAGGAAATTTTGATGAGAATACAATGGGAAATCTGATGTAAATTTGATAGGAATTCTAAAGACAATCTCATCGAAACTCTGAGGTCAGCTTATAATACAGCCATTCCAATCGGCCAAATGGTTCAAAAGTAATAAAAAGGTAATTTTTGGTAAAAATTGAAAAAAAAAAAATGTTTTTCTGGACCACCCTAACATGGAAATATTCAGACAAAAAAAAACGGGTCTAATATTTTGCTATAAGGAACAAAACTAACATTTTTCACGAAATTCTGAGAACCACTATATCGTTTTGCTATGGAATGGCTGGAATGGAATCAAAAAATCTTCAGACCTCAGGTAGCGTAGTCATTAAAGGCACGGCATTACCAAGCGAGAGACGGTGGGTTCGATTCCCTATCCGGTCTGGATAATATTTCGGGGTTGAACATCTTCTCGATTTCTCTGGACATACACAACTTCATGCATTGGTTGGCATGGGAAGCTCTTAATTAATAACTTTTTTTTATTATAGTCATTTAGGCCATTTAGGTCATTCGTGACTTGTCCGGGAATAATATTTAGACTCGTGACATTTAGCTTGAGAGGCATGGATGCTAAACCCTACTCCGTCAACCCAATTAATAACTGTATGAGCTTCAGAGAACACTAAGTTGATAGTCGGCTAATTGCTTGCATAAGAAGCGTCAAAAATCAATATGAAGATGAGGAGTATCCCCGGGGGATTCTGAGGAAACTCCGACAAGATTTTTGGGAAGTGCTCCAAGGGAATTCCGATTAGAATTCTTAGTAATTCAATACAATTTAGAGGATTTGTAGTTTTGAAGGAATTTGAGCTTATGGTTTGACCTCTCACAAATAACTCACTAAGAAGTATGATACCCCTATGGCGTAGGGCAAAAATGCTACGGGATGGGTTGGGGAGTCGCGTGGAACAATGCATAGCTTGCAGAAAATATAGACCCATTAAATGAAGTTATTCACCATGACTTTTCGTCTACATTTCTTATTTTCTCTTTTTTTTCTTTTATTTGAGGTTTACTTTAGCCAAAGTTTGAAAAACATGTTTGAAATTATTTTAGTTATATCCACACATTTTCAATGACCGGAAAATCTATATATATATATATAGGGGATATGGATGTAATTTCGGCCTAAATGCCCCTAATTTGGGCCCATACATAAATTCAGCAATCGACTAAACTTTCAATAGCAACCAAAATATCCATTAATATCGGCCCAATGACGCGTTTATCTAGATAAAATTGATAAATAGCAGATGTTTAGCGATTGACCCAATCTTAGATCCATAGGCCAATATTAGAGCCATCCCCTATAAAAACGAATTTCTGTCTGTCTGTCTAACCCTTATAGACTCGGAAACTACTAAACCGATCGGCGTGAAAATTTGTATGCAGGAGTTTATGGGGCCGGGAAAGGTTCTTATGATGGTTCAAGACCCCTCCCCCTCCGTCTGACTCCCATACAAATGAATCAGACAAATATAGCATGCTTTTTTTGAATCGGTGCATAAACTCAAGCTAATATTGAATCCCGAGCAAGACCGAACACACTCAGCTAGTTTCTAATAAAATAGAGTTTAAGTCCAAAAACGCTATTGCTAGGTCGCGTTGTCACGTCACGCAGTGTTTTAATTCTATTAGCATTCATTAGGGACTATATTCATAGCTACTGATTGGAATAAAAAGTAAATCACGAGGAGTTTGTATTGGTGCACATAACATGATCATAGTAAGAAGTTTACTAAAGGGTTTGAAACAAAAATAGTAATCACGGACAGAAAATCCGCTTGTCACGTCACCTAATATGTTTTGGATAATGCATAATGATGAAGATTGAATTAAAATTTAGAGTATTGTTTGCAGCTTTTGAAATTTATTAAGAAAAAATATATTATGTGATGCATCAGACAATATATTTAAGGTTTTGTACACATGAGAAAAAATAATTAAGAGCAAGGGTTTTGAATATTTCTCAGGGGCGACCCCGGCGTAGTGGTTAACATCCATACCTCTCACGCCAAAGTCACGAGTTCAAATCTTACCCCCGGACAAGTAACAAATGACCCAAGAGTGTTAAAGTGACTATAAAAAAATATTAATATATATATATTTTTCATGATTCTAAAATTTAGAAATAATTTTGCCACCTCTATTTTGAAGCCCTCGTAAATTTCATCGGTCAAATTTTATGTTACCGAAAATGGTCTTGGACGTCAAAGTCAGAACGTGCCAAAAAGGAAACGCTCCCAGCAAAAACTGAAAACGGAACTCTACCAGCAAAACTTGACACTGAAAAGAGCTAGAAAATCTTGAAAGTGACCTTTATGATTGGATTTGTGTATGATAGTAGTTCATAATATTATGCATATTCCATTAAAGCTGAAGAAGGCTGCATCGACGATTTTTTTTGCATGCATGTTTGTGTAGTTACAAATATACTCTATAGGGTGTCCCAGAAAGTAACAACACACTTTCAATACGCCAGCATTTGTGTCCCAATAACGTGTGTTGTTGTTTACATATTGATCAACAAGTGTTTCGAAAGGGCACTTTCTTGCGAAATAATAAAAATCGGGACATTTTTCCGAAAGAACACAAATGGTGCCCTACCAGTTACTCAAGAATTTGCAAAAGTGTATGAATTAAGTATCAAAGCAGCCCAAATCACTATCCGGAAGTCTTAGTTCTTAGAAGAACAATCTCTAGACAAGATAGATGAACCAGACCGAAAACAAAAACCGAAAGCTTAGCTGAAAGATCACACACACTGTTTCTAGAGTGCCTCTGCTCGAGATTTTGCTGAAAACTGCAAACATCGACGAGAAGCGACATGAATACCCGAAACGGAGTCCAAAGCAGCATCCGACAAACCGAAGGGTTGGAAATTATGGGAAATTGGGGGTAAGATGAACACTCAAAGGATTGCTATTGTTTTGTCGTTAATAAATACAGCATTTGGCTGGTTATATCAGTATTCTGTGGGTGTACCTAATACTTAATGAAACTAAGTATAAGGATTTGTGATAAACCCTAATGAAATATATTTTTTTTTAAACAAAAATTTTCAAAAAAAATCACAACTTTGTTTTAGTGCGGGGGAAACGGATAGGTGCTGATGATAAGATGAACAGTCTTGAAAAGTCAATGCTTCTATATTATAAAAAAACAATTGAACTGATTGTGTGCTTATTGTAGATAATAATGAGGATCCAACACATTGGTCACGTCTGAATATGTTCTGGATCCCCCGGGAGGAGTCACATAAAGTCACATGAGAATTCATGTCGGTGACGGTGGATCTATTTACCTCATAAATTCAAGGCATCCACATCCAATAAATTACCTACTTTTACCCCCATGGTAAACTTTTTAGGAAAACGCCTCTACACGCCTGTGTAAAAACAAGGTTTGATTACTTATTTCAACAATCAATCTAGAAATGAACCAGAAACAGGATCGTAAACATTGTTGTAAGCATTGTAATGTTTTGATGCTGCACAACCTTAGCAACTGCACATCAAAATTTGCATAACATCGCAACAATAGCAATTCATAATTGTTTTTGTTTATATTTTCACCTTTGACAGTTCCCGTACCAAGTTGTATATTCTGAAATTCATTAAATATCGTTAACTAAGAGTGGATAAAACCTTATAATTCAAAACCTGAGCCACCAAACAATCAACTGTCCGACCTACCCCCACTGTCCGTCTTACCCACAGCTATCATAGGGGTATGATGCTTTCAATATTGTGTGAAAAATCACCTAGCTCCTAGCTGTCCGGATGTCCTCCTCATAAAAACCATTTTAGCCCTGGCCAATGATTATCTACAAAACCCTTCGTGTAAGCGAATCCTTTTCCTTACAATTTTCTATGCCACTTCGCATTTTCACGGGCCCACGTCTGGCGATCTACTTAATGTACAAAGCTCAACATGAATCTATATGTTTACTGCAGAGAAGTAAGCATCGCCTTCAATTTTCAGATCTGTATGACTTCTAGATGGCTTAATTAGTGTCAGTGAAAACGCGTAGTGGAGGGATTCCGTGAAGCTTGTCCTTAAATAGACGACACTTAAAAAGGCTACACCAAAACAATCAAAAAAGACCCTGTGTGTGTAGTTTTTTATTTGAAGTGATAGAAACTAATGTTTTATTCTCGGTCTTTTAACATGCTGGAAGTAATTTAACGTATCGATTTCAGGTCTACAGGTCTACATTAATGTGACCAAAACATTTCATTTGAGCTTGTGACTTCTTTCTGTTCAGATATCACATTGTCTAACTTCGTTGCTTGTGGAGATCAATTGATTGCGATAGAATTTTCCAAAACGTATCACCACAGCACAGCTCAATCGTTTATGTTAATATTTAAATTTCAGATCGCTGCTGACTGCATCATACAGTAGTCATGATGATTTAAAAGCTCACGCTCAGTAAACGGCCCTCATTCCAATAACCAGCCAAGTCGCATAAACACTCTTCCACGAACGACAACAGAGCTTCTTCCCACCGAACACTTGTTGATATGAATTCAAAAATGAAAAATAAAACGCGGTTACGCTTCGGTCCAGTCCGGATCGTGCCGTCGTGAATTTATAATTGAATTTCGTCGAAGTCTCTTTTGTTGATTGAACGCTTTGCTTGGTCGCACGCGCGTTAATTATAGATTCACTTATTTCCTCCCGACGCTGGTGACTTGATGAAGACTGCGGTGACTCCGGGAACGGCCGATTATGACAATGACACTTTGCGCGGTCTGTGTGCTGCTTACTATACTCTTCTCGATGTCGACCCTAATTAGTCATCGTCCCTTACGGTTCATGAACGGCTCACTGTCTAAATTGAATAGTGTTTTATTGTTGCACACAAATTGGTGTCGCGTTTCGCATCGCGTTATCACTGACTAATGTATTAGCATTGTTTCACGAAAAATGGCAGTTCCGGAACGTCATTTGGAACTTGATTACCTCAACTAGGTACAGCCTTCCCCGTTTTATTCTTAAGTGTGTCACGTTACATTGTGCAACCGACGCCGCACACCGACGCCAAGTAGCTGAGTTGTTGTTATCAGAACCTAGCTTTCTGATACAAAACTAAAGGGAATTACTTGTTACTACAGGTGGATCCAAATTCTTGAAGCCGAAGAATACCAGCAAGTGTAATAATGCAGCTATCGGACGATATTGCGTCCAGTCACGTTTCCGACGATGCGCTTTCGCCTTGTGCGCGGTTGAGCTACTTGTCAGACGAGCGCGTACACGCTGCAGCAGTAACCTGCAAACAGATCGACCGGCGATCGAATACTAATCATACATGGTTAGTACGCGAGAAGCCTTCCTCAGGTCAATGAAGCCAGTGCTGCCAACCGGCAGTGCATGATTTTTGCTACATTATTAACGTTGATTTATCTTTACATGAAGAACACATACTGTATAGCAAAATGTTTGATGGTTAGATAATTGATTTATCACTCTGTTTGATGTAAAGCTAATTTGAGTTTTTTTAGAATATTTTCCGGCGGTCTTTAATTAGCAATCGAGTGACAATCTACATGCGTGAACCCTAGATAATGGGCTGGAACTAACGGATTTGCTTCCCCTTCCTAAAGAAGAAGCCTTCCGTTGTGCTGTGCATATTGAAATGTCCAACTAGGTTTACATGAATAACTCCGAATAAATGTGTCCGTCCATTTCTGTCCAAATAAGTTTAAATGGCATTTCCATACACCACTAGTTGAAACATTTTTGAAAAAATGTAAAAAATGTAAAAAAAATGTATTAAAAATCTCAAAATTTGAAAACATTGGGATTTTTTTTGCATTTTGATAAAGTACTGCGTATTAAGCTTAATCTTCTGAGCTAAAAACGTTAATAAATAGTGATAATTTTTTTTGAGGAATTTGGATAGTCTTCTTCTCTCACATTCATTTTGGCATTCTTTTTATTATTTTGCTTTATTATAGAGATTTTCAGCCTTTAGCTGGTTTGTCTCTTATTTTGCCATTCTATTCTCAGTCTATCGAAAATAAAAAAGTGAAGATAAGCATTACGAAAAAACTTTCGCATTTATAAATTAGATAAGGACTGGTGTTCACTACCATCAAAATGAGGGTCCAATTGTAAGTCGCAACATTGTTGAAGACACTTTCTAAGGTTGCAATTTCAGACCTAAGATGTATCTTTCCTCCATTGGAACTACTGTGCGTGGTTCAGGATGGGATTTCTAAAAGTCACTTGAAGCACCTTTATAAAGTCTAGTCCACTTAGAATCCGGACACGTAAAACCAGGTGTTTCTCGGGATTGATTTGACGTAAGAAAAATTAATTTAGTCAGAATAAAGGTCAAAAACAAATTGCAAATTCACTCCGATGGCGTTCGAATGAACTCGCGGACTTTTTTTGGAATTCCCATTAATCATCTGTCATTTTTTTTCCAACATCGAGCTCAGCTGCACAGATGCTCAGGACGAGTTGCCTTTCCAGTTTTCTTAAACATCCGTTGGATAATTGCCCAATATTTTTCGATTGGTCGGAATTGCGGGCAGTTGGGTGGATTGATATCTTTCGACGAAATCCGCCTTATTGTCGCGGTACCACTGTAGCACCTCCCAGCTAAAGTGGTTGCTTGCCAAATCTTGCCAGAACTTCACTGGAACTTTGTGAGCCTTAATGAAAGGTAGTATACATTTCTCCAGGTACTCTTGCTTATACAGCTTCGAGTCCATCGTTTTGTTGGTGATGAAAAGCTTGGTTTTGAGTCCGCAGCTGCAATTTCCTTGCCAGATCATCAGAATAAATAAAGTTTCCGGATTCTAAGTGGACCAGACTTTAGCCTACCCAAGTATCAACCAAGCGCGCTAATCGCCCTTTTTGCAATATACACACTAAGATTTTGTTTCCGTATTCGGTAAATTTTACCGAAATCAGAACAGCTTAACGTTCGGTAAAACTTTGAGCTTCATTTTAAAGGCTATTGAATTTGAAAATAATTTCAAAACATGTTCAACCTTGTTTAAATGATCAAATCTTGTCATTTTAGTGGAGCTTTAGTTTCAATGTAGCTGGAAAGCAATTAAACTTAATTGAATAAATTTTACCAAACAGTTCAGCTATTCAGATTTCGGTAAAAATTACCGAAGTCGGTGATAATTTCTAAGTGTGTATGGTTAATAAAGGGCTTCCGAACTTTATATTAGTCGTATATCAGCCTTCCCTAGTAGCATACTTGTCACAAACCGGTTGAGATAACTTATATAGGATTCATTTTATTCACAATAAAGTTGCACCAACTTTGTGTGGCAGTTGTGTGCTACTTGGGTTGTATCACAAAAGGGCAATTAGCAATTGATTACTGTCTAAATAATATGCATGACATTTGATATCAGCATACTATACATATATCACGGGGCCTCCCCAATGGTGTAGCGTGCACTGAAAATAAAATGTAGTTTATGCAACGAAATCGTTCGTTCACGATCCGCATTCGCTATTCTCTGCAACGAAATTTAACGTACTTTTTAAGAACTTAATATCGTTATGAATGCCAAACTCGCTACTGATTTCATTTCGTATTGGGAACAAATGAATGATTCATAAAATAATTACAAAATTTTCGTGTCAATGGAAAAAGTAGGAAACATTTGGAAATTTCGTTAACAAATAAATTGGGTTTCTGGTTGTCGTTGCATGTACGAAGGCATTTCGTACGATCGCACTTTTATTTTCTAATTGATCTCTGATTAATGAGGAAAAAAGCAAACTAATGCCAACGGGTCAAGAGGAATCAATTAACATAGCCGCCAGCCAGCCTCCATTCCTTTCCGTGAAGAATGATTTCCCTCCATTAGCACTAAATATAAAGTCTGTCCCTGATTGTAATCCAATCTCCAACATCAACTTGGCGATTTCACCTTCATGGATGGCTGTCAAAACAATTTCTACTACTTAGTATATATGATGAGACACCTAGGACGACAACAACAGTAACAGCAAGACCATACTGGACGCGGCTGGGTTCGATTCCCGGTCCGTTCTAGGTACTTTACGGGCTGATAAATTTCTCGACTTCCCTGGGCATAGAGTATGATTGTACTTGCATCACAATTAAACTAATGCAAAAATGGTACAGGCTTAGAAAGCTCTCAATTAACAACTGTGTAGCTGCTCAAAGAACACTAAGTTGAGGCCTGGCGTAAAATCCCAGTAGGAACGAAATAAAGCCAAAGCAAAGAAGAGATACTTTATATCACGTTATTACAAGAGATAGAAAACATATTTCATCATCAAATAAGTTTGAAATCTACTCAGCAACAACTTTGGCATAGAATACCTATCCTAATGCTAAACAATTAGAAAGTTAACCTTAATATTTAAAATCACAAAAAAGGTACTTTTTAAGCAAAAAGATTTCACCAATGACACCAAACGTCTAAAAGTATAAAAAAAAAACTTGAACTTGCCTTGTTAAATTCCTATCCTGGACCATTGTGCAGTGTCGATTGTCGAAATTCGTTGAGATTTACTCAATTCAAGTTAATGAAATAATTGTTACTTTAAATCTGTCGAACAAGATTTTCCTCATGTTTGCTGTTTATTTCACATACAAATAATGTTGTACTTTAAAATAAAATGAATCCAGAATCGGTTGAAATGAAAAATAAAAGAACATCTTCCAACACTGCACACGCTTTCATATGCTACATCAACAATGTAGGTATGGCGATGTTAGGGGTAGAGCCGCGGAACGCGATGTTTTACCTGTATAATGCCTGTGGCATATGTGCAAGTAAGGCACAACCCACCTTCTACCAGAGCGGTAACCGCGTCTTTAGCTCCTATGGTGGGGAGGTAAAAATTCCGTCTTTCATTTGTTTTGATTCAACGCCGATAGCCGGCATCGGTGGATGCTGACGTTCATTTATGCACTTTTAGGTGAAAGAATTATCACATCCATATAAACTCATATAAGTAGAGGCAGGACGCGGGTGGGCGTAAGTACTTGGTAAACAATTCGCACCGTAGATCTATTTTTGAATTTTTATGTACTGATACATATATTGGTTATGAGCTGTCGGTTGATTTTATTTCTTCGAAACAAGGTTAGGTAACGAAAATTGATTTTCTATTGAAATTAATGGTAGCAACGGGTTTCAACTGAACTACGGAGATTTAACGTGTTATAAACGATGTTACAAGAACTAATGCCGCGGATACACTTGGATGACCTACTATGACCATGAGCATTATTTGTATAATAATTATCAGCACTGTACAACAACTATACGCAAACTATAAACAAGTGTGACCATGTATGTGCTTATAATTTATTTCTTTTATATGGCTTTCTCAGTCTAGGGTAATCCATACAGTTAGTTTTGTATTTCCCGACGTTTCGGCCGTTTATTGTGGCCTTTTTCAAGGGTAAAACAGTCTGAGAAAGCCATATAAAAGAAATCTCCATATAAAATCTAATAAAAAACTTATAATTTATTATACAAATAATGCTCATGGTCATAGTTTGTGATCGAAATGTTTATGTACACCAATGAATATGATTTTTTTTCCTTGATTTTGTTTTCCGTCGATTTTGTTTTCCGTGCTGAGCACCAATGCTACCGACGCCAGGGAGGCAGCTCCCACACCTGGACCCTACCTATCGACCCATCAACTCATGAACCGGGGACCAACGGCTTTACTTCCCATCCGAAGGAAGGCGTGATCAGAGATGTTATGCCTCAGAACATCCCGGCGGCGCCGACTGGGATTGAACCCAGGCCTGCTGGGGTGAGAGGTAATCACGCTTACCACTACACCACCGGCACCGATAATGAATATGATATGAATATGTACCAACAAACTGAACGTCTCAAAATCGTTAAGAACGTTAAATATTGTTAAAAGGTGGCCAAAATAGGAACATGTTTAGAGATGGCGCACAGCAAAGTGATTCCACGATAGTTGTCCATATCTTTCCTGTCTTGGAAGCGGTCACCGTTTGAAAAATAATAGCTTATTCGGTTTCAATGGATTTAAAATCGATTGATAATAAAGCTGAGCAATGAATTTCCAAACATTGCCAAATTGCCGTTACACATTTTATTTTATGTTCGGAGTGTTAAGTGATCCTCCAGGAATTTGGGCGGAGTTCCGTTTGCCCAGGTGAGTCAATTTCAGTTTGGATGATATCGATGATATTAGTGGTTCGCCAACAAGAATTTCGTTCAGTGCTTGACTGTAGGTTGTTTTTTTTTAACTTCATTTCGTCCCAACTGGGACTTCGCGCTGACTA